CCTTCAAATTATTGGCACTCATTATTTCAGAAAACACTATTGTTTTTGAACAGCAAAGTTTAGAACCTGCCTGTGTTAAAATACAATAAAAATAAAGATGATTTAACTTTTTACAGCACATCTATAAAATATGGCGCACTCTTTGGGAAACACAGCCACACAGGTACCTACAATCTACATACACAATATACTTCGGTGATTTAAAAATACATTTTTTTTTCAGTTTTTATTCAATAATTGCATACCCGTAAAAGAAGTGGGCGGTTAATAATCTTTAAGCTGAAATTTTTATCATATCAAATGCTCAATGACGTATGGAAAAAAACTGAATTAGTTTTGCATAGAAAGTACGATATGGTATCTACCAAAACAAGGTTTCAAAAAAATTAATAAAAAATATTATAGAAATTCGAGTTTTGACCACTTGGCTGGTCTAAATTGCATAACAAACTAGTAAAAACCATTTTTTTACTTTCACATTTTATAATGCGTTTTTACCAGTGGTGTAGGTACGGTATATATATTTTTATTTCTCAAAACAAAAACTTATTATTTTTGTTATTCGGTTGACTAATTTTTTACTATAGCTGTACCTAATCAAGTTATAAGTCAATACCGACGTACCGTTCAGCGGTACGAATAGATTCATGGGATTCATGGTATACCCAGTGTTGTAAAAAATACTTTTTAAAAGTATTTAAGTAATTACTCAAATACTCTTAAAATAAAGTATTTAAAATACCACCCAAATACTATAAATAGTAAAGTATTTGAGTAATACTCAAATACTTTTCAGAAGTATTTAAAATAATCTTCAAATACAAAAAAAAAAATCTTTTTACTTTTTAGTTCTGAAATAACTTGTTATAATCAAAAATGTGTTTATTGCATTTTAAAAACATGATTCGTTCAATAATCAAAATTCTGATTAGTCATGTTAGTTGCACTACAACAATGAACTTTTCTCAACAGAGTTATTATATTAATTTAAAGCTATATTATGTATTTGGATATCTCATACCGTCATCGATAAACAATAATGATAATAATTGATAAAAATTTTCTTGATAAATAGGTAGCCACTAGCCAGTAGGTACTAATAATTATTAACATTATTTTCGTATAGTTAAATAATTATAAACTATAAAATATAATAGCCGTTAAGTAGAAGCTTTTTACATATATATTTTGTTAACTTAAGCTAATAGTGATACCGACTACAGATGTATCTTTTCGATCATCGTCGACAATAAGCTGTCTCCTAGAGAATAAAAAAAATTAAATAAAAGTATTCAATAAAATAGTATTAAATAGTAAAAAAAGTATTTAAAATACCATTCAAATACTTCAAAATAAAAAGTATTTAAAAAAGTATTCAATACCGAAAAAAGTATTTGAATACTTTTACTCAATTACTTTTACTCAAATACTATACAACACTGGGTATACCTAATATTGTATAAATATTAAATAGCTTAAAAACAATATGAACAATATAAATATTTTGAAAATGTCATCATAGTAAATAATAATAGGTACAGATAGTCACAAAAACTTCAATTCCCAATGAATAGTATTATTTGAGTTAAAACAAAATAACTAAAATCGTTATTTTTTGCTTAAATATTCAACATCATACATTTTTAAACTTGAAATGTCTAGAAAAAAAAACTATAATATGTACCTATTTTTGAGATTTTTAAGTTCCTATAAGAAAAACACCTGAAGAACCTATTGTATTAAAATTTCAATCCCTATTAGATATTAAAAAAGGTGGGCAAGTGGGTGCCAGTATGCTGTACAGTAGGTTACAAGTGGGTCACTGTAATGGATGGACAGGATGGTGTCAAATTTGAATTCAATGATATAATATCATTGTATAAGAAATACATTGGCAAAAATCGTGGGGGGGGACTTGAGGGGGCTATGCCCCATTCTTTTTTAGTTTTGTAGGATCGAAGCCTACCCGCTCACAGTGATGTTAATAATGTTGCCCCCCCCCCCTGACATTTTAATGGTTTCCAGCCATGCAAGAAATTTGCATCAATATAAAATCCAAGATAAGATATAATTTGTCGGGTGCCTATTAGTGTATTACACACAACTCTAATATTTACATGTTGTACAAATCGTTCAGCTGTCCGTGCATTACCATTTATTAGAATGTTTTTTTGTGTGATTTTAGTAAAATGATTGTGATTTTTATTTTAAAAATGCCGAAAGTCATAAATAAAGTGCCAAATTATGATCATTTATTGTAGAATTGTAGAACAAAAATGTGTGGTCGTAGTACCACAGAATATTCTGTGGTAGCACACTCATTTTCACTGTTGAAATTTAATTATACATTTTATTTCTAAAATAATAATTAATAAATATATATATAAAATTTGTATTAATAATTTAATTTTTAATCTCAATCATATTTTAGATATGATATGATATTTTAGTGGTTTTACCATGGTGTTTATTATTTTCTTTTTTTATATCCTGTATACAAAATTTCTACCAGAAGGAGTGTTTTGATTTCAACATAATATGTTATATATACTATATTATAGTACCTTATCTTTTAGCAAATTGGATCAAGATGGTACTTTAAAGAGGTGATTTTTCGAATATTGATATACCTGATAAATAATAACAATATAAAATATCCAGACCGACAAACCGTCTCCGCTCAGAATCGTTTTTCTTAGACAATGATATTATATCATTGAATTCAAGTTTAATACAATTCATTGTACAATGACCCACTTATAACCTACTGTAAAGCAGAGCGACATCCACTCAACTGATTTTTTTAATTATTAATACAATCAGCCAATTACTGATGTACTTCAAGAAATAAATATTTTTTTTGTAACTATATTTTTGTGTCTATCTTATAAAAATTAAAATGCATAATATTTTTGCATATTTCGGTAAATAAAATGCATATTTTACAATTTATTATTGCATACAAATCCTATCCCTGATCATTACATATTACTGGTTTCAAATCATGCCATAATATACTATATAATATTATTAAATTATGTACCTATTGTACCTACAACAAATTATATTGCAATTATTATTGTATGTATATGAAATATAATTCTAATATTGTAATATATAATTGAATTCAGCTGCATTTGATAAATTGTATTATATTATTATATATTGTATTATAAGTCATCCTGTTACTCCTTATTACTGCCATTCTACTTTATTTTAAAACCTATATTATTATATCTATTCATAACTTTTTAGTGTTTATTGTTTTCTTTTCATATATTATGCATATTGTATTATTGTATATAACTTATTAATATCAATTTAAAGTTGAACTTCCACTTCCGCACAGCCAACTGAAGTGGTCAACTACTGTAAATGTATCTTTATAATTTAAATGTTAAGAAGATATCACAACAGCATGTGTTGTCTCCACCCTACAAATGTACAACATAGCAAAAACTGTTTTGACAACTTTTATCTTTCTGTTTATAATAGTGGCTCCAACATTTCTGAACATATAGGGTGGACAATTATCCATGCAACGGAGTGCCCATATTTTAGATAACATAAATACAATAAAAGTCATTGGCTTCTAAACATTTGGATTTTTCATTTGCTTATGAAAAATGATTGGATAGTGCTATTAAAAAAAAAGCACGCTGTTGCGCAGACAAAGTTCTTCTTTACGTGTTGTGAAAATTTGGTAGTTCTACAACAAATATGGTGCGAGAAAAGTTGTCTAGCGCAAAACAGTTTTTGCTATGTTTTACATTTGTAAGACGGGGACAACAATGGCGGGTGTGACATCCTCTTAAACCATAGTTGGAAAATAAATATATTATTATTATTATTATTATTATTTATCAAAATATAAAACCCATATCACTATATTTATGTTTTGTAAGAACTTAACATAAATATTAATACAAGTACAATTTTTTATTTTATTTTTATTATATCATGATTCATGACTCACAAGCATCATCACAGACCACAGTTCAGTCAGTATTTACTTTACTTACACCACTAGACACTACTGTACTAAATTAACATTGAAATATAGACAAAAATACAGGTATTATATATTATAATATATTAATGATAAATGATAATAGTTATTAATTGTACTTAATAATTAGTAAAATGATTAATTATATTACATAGGTATAGCATAAATGTATGAAATTAATTTTTATTTGTTTTCAACTCAAATTAATATTTTTGTATTACTGAGGTTTTCTGAGATTAACTATGTTTTATACAGATATCTTATTAATAACCCTGGTAAAATATGATCTTAAAAATTAAATTACTATCACAATAATTTATTAAATTAATGTACACACAAATAAAGGTAGTATTAAGTATTTAAAATATTTGGTACATTTTTTTTTAAATATAATATAAGAGTTATATAACAGTTACTGTTTTTACATTATTATTTGTTGAAACATAATATATATATCTCTAATACACTAAATATGAGTAGCAACTATCAATAGGTATTTAGTGACACTATAACATATAATCTATGAATACCTACAGTTATTGTTTATATTTTGTTTGTTGTTAATACTTGCTGATAAATAATATAATACATAATACCGTATAATACATCCCTTAAACATATTATTTAGATATTATATAAATAAATAGAAAATAAAATTATTTATCTAATAGTACAAGTAGTTCATGGTACCACACACAAAACACATTAATGTAATCTTAGCTGGAAACATGTTATATAAGTTGAATGCAAATGAATATTCGGTTTGAAGTGTACAAATATTAAATTTAATCATTAGGAAGTTATGATACTTTTACTCACACGCAATAAATATTACATTTTTAATTTAATAATATTTTATTTGTCTTTAAATTTATGTTGACAAATTAAAGATAAAAATCAAATGGAAGAATAATAGCTAAATGTTAATCATCGCTTATTTTGAAAACCATTATAATACAATATTATAGGTACATATTAATATTTTTAGATATTAAAATCGAGGGTGTGAATTATCTGTGTCTAAAATATCAAAACCACTTAATACTAATTCAATGGCAGTTTCCAAGCTACCACCTCCTAGTCGCAATCCTTGAAGGTTTAAAGGTTCATTGTACAGACCCATTTCCCTCATTACTCTTAATTGATGAGTATAATCAACTGCTGGTGTAGTTGGTTGACTTTGTGTGGTATTAGGAGTCACAGGCATATTTCCTGTATTTGCAGTTGATGTACTTGCACCACTAGTACTAGGCTGTTGTTGCTGAGTCGTTACATTTGCTATAGCTGCGGCCAACTGTGCGGCAGTGATGGCATAAGATAAGTTTCTATTCGATGGTTGACTGTTAGTGTCTGATCCAGGGGATGAATCATCTAAATCTTCCATATCATCATCACTGCCAGCAGACATAGATCTGGCCAACACATCTGATGCCAAGTGATTCTAACACATAATGAAAATACGTCCACATTAGTATAAATAAAAGTAGGCATTAAGGATTTTCAATAAATTTACCTGCACAACTTGATCATGAACAACTGCAGAAATTTGAATTGCCGCTAATGCCAAACTAGGATGATTTTCCGCAATGCGTTTCACCAAAGCAACATCATTGAGTTTGACTAATAGCTCAGGATGTTGTAAAAGAGTAATCGCTACAGGATCTTCACTCAATTCAGGAGTAGATGTGATAAGATCAGATAACATTTTGGCCTTACTAATTTTCATCAATGCACATTTATACGTAGAATTTAACGAGAGTGAACGAAAAGCTACACCCAGTTTCACCAATCCCGCGCTACTTTTATCAATACATTTTGGAGGGTCTGGCTCATCTATTTTCATTTGTTTGAATAAATGTACAGTAGCTCCATTGACAACATCGTACATATAAATAGGAGTATGGTCTTCCATGACATTTCCGGAATAAACTATTACAAAATTTTTTTCGTTCAGAGTGTTATCCTTTTCACACATTTTGTTTCTCAATACGCTGACGGGCGATTGCAAATCAATGTACACTTTTTCGGTATACATAGTCATTGTACCCAAACGTAACTTTACGTTAATCAAGGAAATCTCTGGCTCTTCACTTATCATGTTTCCAGCTAAGATACCACAGACAACACGGTAGGGTACAACCGACGATGACGCCGAATGTAATTTACACGTATGAACCTAGTATAGTTGTAATTTTGTGTGTAATATGAACATTTTAAGATATTATAATATATAAATATAATAGATACGTACCTCCTTTTTGTTGGTGTCTGTAACGATGGAGAACGTCTTACAAAAAACCTTTGAGTTTAATATGTAGGTAGTCAATTTTAATGTGGAAAACAAAACAATTGAACAAACCGAACAAAATAGTAGACTTGGGTATATTATGTAAGATTCGTGAAATTATTTGGAAATATAATAATAAATATTTTTATACCGTCAAAATATAAAATAGTAAAACACCGATTTTGATTTCTGAGTTATTACTTAGGAAAGAGGGAACGAGTAAACGACAACGGTCTACAGCATTTTAATAATAATAATAAATAATAATGATACGCACATCTAATACTATAAAATGAAGAACAGCTGACTGATAATATTGGGGTCCAATGGAAAGGAAAACGCCGGCTATAGCGAACCCTTGGCGTAAAAAATGAAGCACTGCTCCGTTTCCCCAGCCCGCCGGCCGTGTCCCGTCGATTCCTTATAGCGCGACCAATCGCGTACCTTCGCAGTGGCGGCGGTCGGTTTTAAAACGTTTTTCGTTATCACCTCTTTTCCTATCATTTCGCCGATTTTCGGAAAATTAGCTGTTTTTACACGATATCTTTTCGCCCTTTTATATACTTAATTCGAAGCCACCGGTGTGCGGTTTATATTCGTGCAATGTCGATCAATAAATACACTCCCGACCGGACTTTTTTGCCGATTTTTTCCTTTTCTCCCACCGTTTCGTCTATTCGCACCCGTTTGTGTCCGAATCGAGTCTTTTTGAAGCCGTTTATATGCGCTTTTCCCCCAAAATCGGTTCGTTCGCCTCGCAATCGCGTTTGGAAATTACGCCGGCGACCGACCAGCCGTACGCGTATATATACATGTATATAGGTGTATAATTTAATTTTTCCTTATGATTTAATAATTATTAACGGAAAACGCTTTTCACACGCCCCGTTAAATATATATATGGGAGATGCGCGTATTACAAGCGAATTATATGCGATTACATCGATGTACATCGGAAATATCGGTTTACGTCGCTCCGTAGTCGCACGGCTTAATTGTTGATGTTTTCACTGTCTTTCATATCTCAAACTGTGTCCGAGTAGGTTAGGCGTTAGGCAGGAAACACGTAGGTCCCGGGTTCAAATCCGTCGTACGCCGTCCAGGCATTGAAACCGTCAATGCCATATGGTTTACACGGCCGCCCAAATCAGGATTTTTTTTGCATTTTTTTTCACGTTATTTTTCATATAAATTAAATAATAATATAATAATACAGGAACATATCGTACATTATTATTATTTAAAGTCATTATCATTTTATATCACACAATAAATAGGTACATATTATATTTGTTTTATTAGGAATTATTAAAATTGCATATTTTTTAAAATTTCCATGATTGTTATATAAATATAGTTTGTATTTTATTTCGGTTTGCCTTGAAAGTTAATCTTGATTTTGACTTGAGAGTTGAGATGACTGACTTGCTAGACACTCCAACACGGTTTTTGACTTTACACTTTTTACATAAGAAAAGGCACCGGACATGCGAAGGCACATACCACTCTATGTGATATACCTACTATATATAGGTGATAGACGGATTGCTCATTTTAGTTTCGTCTTAAACGGTGATGATTGACTTGATAGACACTTTAACAAATAACATGCAGGTTTTTGCAATTTTTTTTAAAATTAATATATTTACACTACCTATAGGTACATGTTTATATGTATTGGTTAATATAATAGTATGTATCTAACTACCTACCTATATGTTAATATTTTTTAGGAATTATAATTGCACATTTCTCAAAATGTTCATTGTTATATTATATCACACAATAAATACATATCATATTTGTTTGTATGTATATAGTTTGAATTTTTCGTAAATAATTTCGTAAGTTGTGTGATAGGGTTTTCACTTATAGCCGCTTGATGTCGTGTCTGCAATCCACCGCAGGTGGATTGCCTACCTGATTTGCTGTGGCACATAGTCCGCGATCCGACGAAGTCGGATTGCCTACCTAAGTGGCTAACTTGAAAGTTAATAGATTTTGACTTGAGATGACTGACTTGCTAGAAACTCCAACACGGTTTTCGACTTTACACTTTTTACATAGGTAAGATAAAGCACCGTTCATGCTACGGCACATACCACTCTATGTGCAGCTATACTCTATATAGGTGATCCTGGAGATCGTATCCAGCCTGGCAGCCTATCCATTTACAACGTTTGTGACGGATTGCTAGACACTCAAACTTTTAACATTCCCGCCAAAGCGTCTAGCCTTATCTCCAATCCATATCACTAATCCTTATCACAAATCCTAAACTTTCGTCTTACAACCTTTGCGACTTTTATAATTCATTGTCTCCAAAATCGGTACCCACTCTCAGCGATTCCAACGGGCCCCGAGTTATACTTAGAGCTAGTTTTATTATATTTTCAATGTTTATCCATTTCGCTGGCGGTTGTTCTTGGTGTCTTGCGGTATAAGGTATATGGTTATCTCTCCCGCCACCAAAGACGAGCCTACAAATGCCATAGATCCGGTGGTAAATATTACTGTTGCGGAGCCACACTGTTGTTCATGTATTTATTCGATATCTACGTCGGTGATAAGATAACATTTAAATAATTACCGCGTGAATTTAAATATTATAATCATTATTATTATTTATTAATACAAGTAAATAATACAATTGAGTATTGTAATTTTTATATCCTAAATCTAAATTATTATACTTATAACTAAAAAAAAAAAAAAAATTAAGAATGATAATTCTAACACGTGCTACAAAAAAAAAAAAAAATAATAATAATCATGTATAGGAATTCCCGCGTTGTATATAATTGTATCTTTAATAGTTTAATATCAATGATCTTTATTACAATCAAATGTCACTCCGAATATGGGTCAAGACCTGTCTTGCTATTATTATTACCATCATATATCGACCTACACAATTTGTATTAGTGTAGTCTGTACTCTGTACTCTGTAGTATCTGAACATTAATGCTGCAGGTATTTATATTATTCCTAGTGTATAGTTGTCATAAAATTATTAAAAGTTTAAGTAATATACGTATAGTATTAATTATTTTGTATAATATGTCTTTTGTTTGCAAACAATGTAATGCAAATTTTACCAAAAAATATAATTTAAGCCGACATCAATCAACTCACCACCAAAAAAATAAAGACGTTGACAATAAATTCGTAAGTATTTAAGAGACAAGAGTTATAACTTCTGATATATTTTTTTCTTGATACAAATTTATTTGTTTTAAATTTGTAGGAATGCAATGAATGTAATCGAAAGTTCAACCGCAAAGACATTTTAATACGTCATATAGAAATTCTACATAAGTGCAAAAGTGATTCTTTTGTAAGTTAATTAGAATTTATACTGCAGTACATATTTGTTGTATATACTTTTTGATGTCAGTAACTAATTTTATGTTTATATTTTGAATATTTTAGAAATGTTCTCAGTGTTCAAAGATATTTTATAACAAATATAGTCAAGCGCAGCACATTCGAATTGCACATATTAAAAACATCTCTCGGACTGAGAAGAAAAAACCTTATAAAGACTGTAAGGTAAATATATTTTGTTATGCAGTTTTTGGAAAGAACGTTGTTAATGAATTTGAAAGATTTTTATGACTTTATAATAATAAATATATTTAAGAGCTATAATTTCGTTAAAAATAATTGGAGAAAAAAAATGAATATTATTATGATAGGCATCATGGTTATTTTTATAAGCATTTAAAGTTCAAATTTCGTCAAAAACACAGTTAATTTGTAGTTCAAAATGTTTAAAATATTAAATGTGTATAGCTAAGGCTAGACAATTTAATACAAGGTAATACGGGCAATGGGCATGGGGCCCGTTAGCCACCCCCTGTGGACGCCACTGCCTATGCGGCTATACTAGTATAAATAAATTATAAACTTTATTTCTTCATCATATTATTGAATAGGTATGCAATCTCTGCCTTAAAGACTTTGCCAGTTTTAAAGGGTTGAAAATTCATAAGAAAAGCGTTCATCCAAAACGTACCTTAGAAGGGACAAATTTTCTCCGTGTCAATGATTTTTTTGTAAGTAATTATAAGTAGATTTCAAAATGGCGTGTAAAATATTTCTTCTTTTGATAATTTTATAGGAATGTCATGAATGTAATAAAAAATTTTTCCGGAAAGATACCTTAAGACGACATATAAAAATAAAACACTTCTTAGAACGAGATGATTTTGTAAGTGTGACATAGAAAAATATCATTACCAGTGGTTATATATGTTCACATCTACTTATTTACCAGATACCCTATTTTACTTTTAAGGGTAGCCGGTAAGTAGATTGTTGAGTATTGGTCCACTTTATATCTAACATTGAAATACATATCATCATGGTAATTCGTATTCTTGAATTCTATAGGAATGTGCTCATTGTTCAAGGAAATATACCCGAAAGAATGATTTAATTAAACATATAATTTTGAACGGAAATTCGAATCCCAAGGTAATTAGTCCGAATTATCATGGATACTTACCTATTGCAACATTTGTTTTTTTTTTACCTAATGCTTTTAATATTTTACATTATACAGGCTACACATTTTAAGTGTCTTATGTGTGAACAATATTTTAGTACAAGAATCCTCATGAATGAACATTACCAAAAATACCACAACTTAGACTTTGTGTATGAACATTTAAAGTTCACATCTTTTGGTGAATTTCAGAAATGGAAAACTAATGAAGAACAAAAGTATTTTATTCAGTTTCCTGTAGCTATGTCGTGGAATACAAAAACAGTTATTATAAAACAATATATATGTCATCGTTCAGGAGAAAAACGTTTGAAAACTGTCCCAAAAATCATCCCAAAACTGATAGGTTCTAAAAAATTAGGTGGTATTTGCCCTGCGCTTATAAATATAAAAACTTCTAAAAACGATGGTACGTGTTCGGTTATGTATCAAAAATTACATGTAGGCCATCCATGTAATAGAAGTGAGTTACCTCATATAAATTTAAACGCAGAAGATAAATTGAATATTGCCAAGAAGTTATCATTAGGTGTACCACGTAATATTATATTGGGACAATACGAATCAACAGAGAATCAGGAAATATGTAGTCGTATTAATTTATTAAATTATAATGATGTGACGAATATTGCAAAGCAATTTAATCTTAACGAACCTTTTCCTAAACTATTTAATGACGATTCTAAAAATATTGCAAGTTTTGTCCTAAAGAACAACAATTCAATACTTTTTTATAAAGAAGAAGGAATCGAAGATGATCAGTTTCCAACATTAAAGAAGGACGACTTTGCTTTAGGATACATGAATAAAAACCAAGAGCGTAATTTGAAACGCTATGGTTACAAAACAATATGTTTTGATGGCACACATGGAACGAATCCAAATGATTTTATTTTACATACATTGTTAGTAACAGATGTAGACTGCGAAGGCTACCCAGTTGCCTTTTTACTAACCAATAGAAATGACGAAGTGGTAATTAGTGTTCTGCTTGAAAAAATCAAAGATCGACTGGGTAGTGTGTCGCCAAAAACAATCATGTCAGATATGCAGACTTCATATTTTAACAGTTGGATAAAAAAAATGGGTCCTGTGAATCACAAGCTATTTTGCACGTGGCATGTGCACGAAGCCTGGCGTAAAAATTTGTCCAAAATAAAAAATAAAGAAAAAAAAGTAACAGTCACTAAAATTCTATATGATTTATCTACTGAATTAGATATTGGAATATTTCAAAATAAACTACACGCTTTTCTGTCAAACAACGATGACGATCTTCAATTTTTTTTAGATTATTTTTTCAAATATTATGGCCAAAATCAACAGTTCTGGGCATACTGTTACAGGCAGAATGCCGGTTGTAACACAAATATGAACTTAGAAAGCTTCCATAGAGTTTTAAAAGAAAAAATTATGTGTAGATTAAAAGTCAGAAGCGTGTACGATTGTTTATGCTACTTGGAGAAATATTTAGTAATGAAAGAAAATGATGTACAAAAAAAACAAATACGTTATAAACGCACCAATAAATTGAAATGTCTTCGTGCAAATCATAAGAAAGTGGAAAAACAAAGTGAATTAAAAAGTATGGTTATCAATTCATTAAACTATAACTCTTGGTATGTTCAATCGTTCACCGATGAAAAAATTATGTACAATGTACTTAAAAGTGAAGTAAAAGAGTGTACATTGTATGAAGGTGAGATCTGTTTACTTCCTTGCACACAATGTAATGCGTGTTTCCACGATTACACGTGTAATTGCAAGGACCATTCAATAAAAAATAATATGTGCAAGCATATTCACGCCGTTGCAATGAACCTCCTCAGCCAAAAAACCGACAGCAAATGTAGACAAACAACAAAAACAAAAAGCACACACAGACGTAGTATACAGACAAAGATGACATGTAAAGATGATGAACCGATGGAGACAACAAGTATAGACGAGGAAAATCAATCACACCATGATGATGATGGTAATAAGAATTAATTGAAAAATGTTTATTTAATTTATATTTTCAAAATTTTTTTCAGATGTTTTATTACACAAATTAAGGCAGAATATATTACTAGAAATTGAGCAATCGTTACAGCAGATAACATCACGAGAACAACTACAACAGTTAAATAAAAAACTTGTTGCACCCATCCATGTTTCCATTGCTGCTTCAAAAATTGAAACTGTGCCTTTGAAACAAAAAAATAAGTTGGAAAGGGGTAAAATGAAACCACAAAAGAGAATTTTTGACGTAGGTCTACATTGAATTTTAATTCCAATTTGGTGCAACTAATTTTTTTTTGTATTACAGGTGCCAAAAAACAAGGCAAATAAAGAAAACTAAAATTTCTTAATTTTAGGATTTTTCGTTCGGATAATGAACTGTAAAAAAAAGTAGGATTTTGTAGGACGTATTAGATAAACTTTAATAAATTATTATTATTTTTTTTTTTTTGTAAGACGTGTTAGAATTATCATTCTTAATTTTTTTTTTTTTTTTTTTGTTATAAGTATAATAATTTAGATTTAGGATATAAAAATTACAATACTCAATTGAATTATTTACTTGTATTAATAAATAATAATAATAATTATAATATTTAAATTCACGCGGTAATTATTTGAATGTTATCTTATCACCGACGTAGATATCGAATAAATACATGAACAACAATGGCTCCGCAACAGTAATACTAACCACCGGATCTATGGCATTTGTAGGCTCGTCCACCAAAGAAGCACGGAACAAAGGAGACGTTATCTACCACCAGACGGACCAAAGAGCTTCGACAAAACGTGTTCCGTGTGATAACAAAATAAATGCGACGTCCGTTATATTCCGTTTGGGCGCTAAATTAATTAATAATGGAATATTGAGTGCGGAGTGCGAACCACGGCTTTAGATAGCTTTCTAATTTCTATAATTCTATCTAAAGGCTAAAGTCGCTGTGCGATAGTTATTGATTTCAAATTTGTCCAAAATATAGATGATACTTGCTATAGTTAGTAGTTGCTATATATTATTAGTTATTACTATATAATTAATGAATAAATGTTTCTTTTTGTATTATGTATATTGCTTGTAAGTAAAATTTAAGATTAACGTCGGTAACAATATGTATTCTGTTATTTTTAAATATACCAATGGGATATGTTAAAAATGCAGTTAAATAATATCATGGGAGCTGATAAACAATATTATAGTACCTACGGCCTACCTATTTCTACCTTGTTTTTTTTATCTATCTCGATACATAATATTATATATTGCATATTATATTTAAATATTTCATTATCATCACAAGCGTGATATCATTACTGTACCTACTGTTCAATTTAAGGAAGTATGGGTCACCTCCGTATATAGTTAATAGTTAAGAGGACGCCACACCCGCATGTGTTGTCTCCGTCTTACAAACGCGTAACATAGCAAATTACGTCCACGGAAAACAAACGAATCGGCATCAAAAAGTGGTTTTAGAGTAAAAATACCTATAATAAAACTTAAAGAGAACAATATTTCGGAGGGAACCTCATCGGGGTTTTGTATTAATCTAAATACACAGCTAGATATTGAAGGCACAAAAACTCTTTTTTTTAATTTTTTTAAATAACCACAACTTTTTTAATAGTTAATATTTTTAAAAACGCCGATGAGGTTCCCTCCAAAATATTGTTCTCTTTAAGTTTTATTATAGGTATTTTTACTCTAAAACCACTTTTTGATGCCGATTCGTTTGTTTTCCGTGGACGTAATTTGCTATGTTACGCGTTTGTAAGACGGAGACAACACATGCGGGTGTGGCGTCCTCTTAATATCATGATGTTTCGATGTAGGTAACACACATTTTATCCAACTCGACACTCGTAGTAAGAATAGACCTATTAACTAGTCAATATTGATAATTAATGATATATTTTGCATTTTGTACTTCTTGCTGAGTTAATTTTCTGCCGTCACCATGCGATATAGTAAAATGGCTGTATAGATAATATAGGTAAAGATACTACATACTTTACAGACGTGTAGATCGTATATAGTAGGTAGCTACATACCTACTATATAGATTATAGATGTAGGTACATAATAGATAGGTAGGTACATACTATTTATGTACATACAGCTGAATAAATTATGGTCGTTTATCCCTAAGTAGGTCTAGGGGGTTGTGACATAGGGGTGCCTCTAGACATCATAAATTACCTATAAATAATAATTTATTGTTGGTCTTATAAGTAGGCCCTTTGGACCAAAAGGATATTTCTCCCCCCCACCCGATAGAAGACGAATCAAATCCGCTACTGAAATAGGTATTATATTATAACGAGTAGGTAATGAAAGAAAAAATATTATTTTATAATAATTGTTGTATATAATATTATTATGTTATAGATACATATTGTGTAAATTTCCCATATTATATTTTATTCATTTACAACGATAATAACACATAAAGTGCATGTAAATTTATTCGGTTTCGGCCTTTGCGTAGTCGTGGTGATCGGCATTTGTGTCGTAGTATATGCTGTAAGTTGTCGGTATTATCGTAGTGGTAGTAGTATTATCATTATCGTCAGAATGCATTAGCGTCGTGGTTGGCGGCATGTTTGTCGTTGTCATGTTTGGCAGTACAGTTCTCATCGATGGCGGCATGGTTGGCAGTGTCGGTGACATTGTTGTCGTTGAATTAATTACCATATTATATGACGTATTAAGAAAATTAATAGCCAATTCAGCCCTTGGATACAGCCATTTAGTCTTATTAAATGTTTTTGAGTGCTCCGTCTGTAGCATTTCAGTTCTATTTTGTTCACACAAATATCACAATAAAATGTTATTATATCTACCTACATAATATTCTATAGGTAATGGACATAATATTATATTAGTTATAAGATTGTATAAGATCAAGTAATCCTAAGTAACTTGGATATTAATGTATCATATTGTCCAAGACAATTTTATTAGTTATTACCTAGTTATTTTTTCATGCCGCAGTAACTATCATGTACCTAACCCACGAGGGTATCCTATGATCATAGGATCCTATGATCCCCTACCTTGCGAGTTACGATTGATATAAAAAATAATTTTTTTTAAATTTGTTTATATAACAGGCACTTGGATTTCTAATCCTAGTAATTACATGTACCTACCGAATGGATAATTTTATAAAAATTATTATGATTTATCGGCTACTTCAATAATTCTCTTGGAGAAATTACAAAATATACATAATCCTTATAAATACAAGCAAAGACAATGAAAAAGTGAGTAAAAAGTACATATAGGTCAACTTGGGAATTTACACAACTTTCGATGTTACAATATATTTACTCTAGTTGTTATCTATCATATTGAATAATAATTAAAACAATGCATTTTATTTTTATGTTTTATTTTTAAAGGTAAAACACAGATTTGAGCCTAAAAAAATTTTGATGATTCCGGTAAGAATGTATGGTAATTGGTAAGTATATTATAGGAACAATGGTGGTGAAAAACAGTGATGGACTATTAACTAAAAGTAGAAAAGAAGTAATACTATATACTTTATTCCTACTCAGCTATTGAAAACGGTGCGTGGTTAACTCAATTGGATACTATTGTGTACCTACTTACCGTTTATAACAGCAAATATTAAATAATATACATGATGATTCACCAAAATATATGCTTATTGCTAACCCTCGTTTTTCTCTTAGTCATAACTCATACCTAAGCTTATTCAAATTTAAATTTTTGTATATTTTAAGTTGAGTTAATGGCCATATTTTTAAATACTTGGATTATTATAATATAATTTTTAATAACTCTTTAATTATGGAGACAGTCTCCTGTGGCGATTCCAAGTTCCAACCTTCGTTTTCTCATACGAGAATCACTCTTTTTTAATCCAAAGTGTTAAGCTTCAAGCAGATGATTTTTTTTAGCATTTTAGATACTGAGTGGAACGATTAATGTATTGAATGTCTTGATTTTACAATGATGTGTGTTTTTTAATTTTTAATCTTTTTTTGTGTTTGTCATTACTTTTTAGGACCGTAAACGTGATTGGATTTTCCTCAACAGTATCTTTTCTGATAGGAAAGTGAATCTAGTTGGTATTTTGAGGGGTCAAAAGTGAAAATTTCACAGTATTTTTCAAAAGCGGCGTGAAAAACAAAATAAAAATTAAGGAAAAAAATCGATTTTGGTTTTTAGTGCAACTCTTAAACAAATTACCGTAGGTAGATGAAATTTTTACTGAATGTTTATATTAGCATTTTCTATACACGATAACATTTTCAAAATGTTTTGATTTATTTTGAACCGTTTAGGCACATTTTCATTTTCCATTTTTTTTAGTTTTTTTTCTAAAAATATCAATAAAATTATATTTGTTGGTTAAAAAAGCTTGAAAATTTAATACAAGGCTCCTACTATATTGTTACAATAGCGTTTGAAAAATATTAAAAATTCTTAGGCACAGTTTTTTTTTATAAGCATTTAAAGTTAAAAAATTAACAAAATATGTAAAAATCACGAAAATTAGCAAATTATTTTGAGTTAAGAATTCGTAAAAATTTTTCTTTTTAAGTCTAAGGTTTTAAAATGTAATACAAGATTCCTTATAAGATTATCGACCTTTATCAAAAAAAAATGTCTATAAGAAAGTCAAATCAAATTTTTATGAGCGTTTGAAATTCAAATTTTTTCAACATTCGATATTCGCTCGATTTCTCATGTAGCGATTTCCTTATTTTGTTGTAATTCAAAAACGAATAAATGTAGATACATGAAAATTTCACTGAATATTTATATTAGCATTTCATATACACCATACAATTTTGAAAATATTTTGACTCTTTTTTAAATGTTTACGGACATTTTCAGTTTCCAATTTTTTTAGTTTTTTATTCTATAAATATCAATAAAGTTTTATCTGTTGGGCCAAAAAGTGTAAAATATTAATACAAGGCTCCTGATATATTGTTACAATATCAGTTGAAAAATATTAAAAATACATAGGCACAGTTTTTTTTTATAAGCATTTAAACATCGAATTTTGACAGAATTTTTCAAAATCTCGAAAATTATTAATCATCGTAATTAATAAATTATAAAATGTTCAGTTTTTATAGCTAAGGATTGAAAATTTAAAACAAGATTCCACATAAGTAGTTAATTCTGTTAGGTACCAAAAAATCTAAAAAATACATAAGCACAGTTTATTTTTATAGTAATTTTAAGTTCAAATTTGGACGAAATTACATATTAAAAAACCTAGAATAACTATTTTAGTTATTTTGTGGTGATTGTGTAATATTATTCGTGGGTACTTGAAACTTCTAAAGTACACTATTATATATCTATGGAGTATGGACTATGATAGTATATATCAGGGTTTGTTGTTGACCTATAACGCATTATATAAGTACCTAATGGATATTGTGATATGATTAATTTGGAATTTACTATAGGTACCTATTTTAGGTAAATTTTTTTTAATACGATAGATAAGTATATAATATGTCTTATACCTAGACTGACATACCGTCTCCGCTCAGGATCGTTTTTCTTATACAATGATATTATATCATTGAATTCAAATTTAATACTATCCATTATATACTGTGACCCACTTGTAACCTACTGTACAGCAGAGCACCTTTTTTTTAGTTTTTTTTCTATAATTATCAATTAAATTTTATTTGTTGGGTACAAAAACTTAAAAATTTAATAGAAGGCTTCTAATATATTGTTTCAAAGACAAGTGAAAAATATTAAAAATCCTTAGTCGCAGGTTTTTGTTATGAGCATTTAAAATTCAAACATTGACAAAACACATAAAAATGACGAAAGTTTGCAAATTATTTCGAGTTAGAAATTCATAAAACTTTTTCTTTTTATGTATGTATCTAAATAAAAATTATAATGAATTGTTTTTGAGTTATCGAAGTATATAATTACTACAATAAATTACTATAATAAGTACAATATCCTTAAAAATGTTTATACAAAATTATAAAATAAATTTATATATGCAGGTAATATTTCATCTAGTATTTATTATACTAAGATTTTTTTTTACGAATTTTAAAGTATTTAAATATGATCGATATTATATGTAGGTATAGCGGGTATAAGTATAGTTATCTTTACTTAAAAATTCTTTAAGTCGGTATTAAATAAATAGATAAATTTAAAGGAAAAAATGGGAGTGAGCATGGTTAGCGTATCGTCCTACCTATAGTTATGTACCTATAAATAACTGTGTTCACTCACATGTCTAAGTCGTTGAACGAGTTACTGGTGAGTTCTTCCCCAAATGGTTGTTCTGTCGTCATCGACATCGCTTTAAATTTACTACTCGCAGAAGTCAAAGCTTCCAAAAATGATTGGAACTGATCGTATTTGAAGTCCTTCTGCTTTGACCGGCTGTGACCGTAGTTGATCGCCGTGTTGTCTTTGTTCATTATACCGATAACAGGTGCTGTATCCGAAGTCATCGCCGAAACATTTCCCTCAACTTTCTCGTCGAGAGTTTCCCACGGTTCGTGTACATCATGGTGTTTAAACGGTCTATTGATTTCGAATATCGAACAAATAAAAATAATTATTATCGTTTTTCGTATTTACATCGGAGAGTGACTGGAAAAAAATTCGACGTTTCCGCTCACTTGATTTTATTGTACTCGGCATATGGTTTGATGGTCGTTTGCATTGAGCCTATAGTAAATGGTGCAGTCGACGCTGGACTGCATCCAAGTAACACGTACAACGCACAGATCTAAAACGAATTATTACAATATACAGTATGTCCCAAAAGTCCCGTATCACCCTTAATATCTCCATGTAAAATCACTATATTTAAACGCGGTTTTTTTTACAGTACTAAGTATGAAAATTCTGATTGAATGGCATAAAATTTATTTATTTTTTCTTTAAATTCAAAAATTTTCAAAAAAATTTTTTACGCATTTAAGAATTTAAAATTTTTAAGATAGCCATTTTGTTGAGCATATTTTTTAAAACAGTTCAAAAAAAAAATACTAAAATTAAATAAAAATTGACCAAGTTAGAGCAAGTTATGTTTTTGAATAATTGTAGTAAAAAAATAAATTAGGAATGTAAAAGTATGGTCGTGTGCTGAAATTAGATATTTCATTATTGAAATGTGAAACAATAATTTATTTTTTTACTACAATTATTCAAAAATATAACTTGCTCTAACTTGGTCAATTTTTATTTAATTTTAGTATTTTTTTTTTTGAACTGTTTTAAAAAATATGCTCAACAAAATGGCTATCTTAAAAATTTTAAATTCTTAAATGCGTAAAAAATTTTTTTGAAAATTTTTGAATTTAAAGAAAAAATAAATGAATTTTATGCCATTCAATCAGAATTTTCATACTTAGTACTGTAAAAAAAACCACGTTTAAATATAGTGATTTTACATGGAGATATTAAGGGTGATACGGGACTTTTGGGACATACTGTATACAAATATTAGGAACAAAAGCAACACTATTGATGATTAGTAAGGAAAGTTTATTTAAAGGGTTTAGATAAAGCTGGGCAAGTTAGTCATTTTTCTTTAATAAAAAAACTAACTAAGTTAGAATATAAGTTAGTTTCTGAAACTGTCCAAATTTCTAACTTAGTTAGTTAGAAGTTAGTTTGATGAAAATAGTAACTTAAGTTAGACTAGAAGTTAGTTAGTTTTTTTTATAGATTAAAAAACTTTTTTGTTCAAATGTAAATAATAAATTATCTAACTTGGATTATTCATGAAAACTGAAAAAATGTAAATGTGTAATACTTGTCCGGTTCTCAGCCGTCATATGATTGTGTGCGCGATTCTAGAATAATCGCACGTCGCGACAGTAGATATTACTGATATTGTGATAATAATATAATATATTAATATATTATATAGTTAAATATAGGTAATACTGTAATAGTAATATAGGTAAATGGGTAAACCACCGATAACACTACCAAGAAAATTCGGCACCGGGTCTAGTGTCTAATGTCTACACTCGGTTTAAGCCACCCGTATAGATACTATATTACTATTTATATCTACTTTCTACAGATTACGCGGAAAAGCCATGGTTCTCAAGCGTGCATTATTATAAATACTAATAATTAATATATTCTATGAGCCTATAATCTATATATGCATACATATAGGTATAGTAACTATGTCATGATAAAGGAACAGCTTTTGAAATTTTGGAAATGAAAAAAAAGTAATAGTAATGTAATAACTAACTAGTTAGTTTTTTTTCTAACGAGTTAGATTAGGATTATTTTATGCATTAAATTCAACTCGTTAAGTTTGAAAGTTATTGTGTATTAAATCTAACTAGTTAAATTAGAAAGTTACTTAAAAAGGAACTTTCTAACTTAACTTTAACTTTATAACTAGTTAGTGCCCTACATTATATAATATATTATAAGAATACGGTTTTTGAATTTTGAGGGCGTTGCATAAGTATAGTTTATTGTTTTATGATAACGATAAGTTTAGGGATCGGAACTTTTAAATATAGGAAAAGTACTAAATATATATGCATTTATGGGATTAATAAAGTTCAAAATTGCACTCATTTTTGTCTTTACACACAGATATTTTATAAAACTTTAAATATAAAAGATCAGAGTAATGTTCTTAGATTAGTTAAATCAATTATATGTAGGTATACCTTTATAGTTATACCATTGAAAGTACAAAAATGATAAAATAGTATTGTATTAGATAGGTATAGACAGGTATAGTATATTTTTAAAAATGACTTGCAAAATAAATAAATAGGTAGCTATGAAAATTAAAAATATCCCTTAAATAAAATTATTTCTTTAATGATTTTTCATTCATCCATATATATGTCGAAGCCACTTCGTGACATCGATCTTTTCATCAAAATATGACCATTTCATGAAATGGAAACGGATATTTTATGCTTCGTGAAATTTCTAAAATATTTCACAAAATGGTCACTTTTTCATGAAGTGGTCACTCCAATTTAACATCCTGTAATTTTTTTCACAATCCGGTCTTTCACTTTGTGTACTGAAATACAACATTTATCGCACACGTCTATAGGTACATAGTTAATTGATTATATCCTTTAACCACGTGCCGATATCAAATACAATAAATATTATCTGTATTCAATATGACTATTATAATAGGTACCTGCCTAATTGTCAGACTATCTGAAATGTGTAGATGATATTTATTGGTTTTGATAAAAGTCATAATAATAATGTCATATTAGCATTTTGGCAATACCTTGATGTTAGAGCAGTGTTTGGTTGCTGAGTTTAATGAAAAACCTGAGTTTTACCAAAAAATGGATAAATATTATTTGGACAAGCTTGGTAAAAAACCATATAGGCAGGGCCGCATTTAGGGGAGGGCGCTGGGTACAACTGCCCCGGGCGCCAGTATTTTAGGGGCTCCAATATTTTGTGGTCAGAAATTTGGTTACTTGTGAATTATTAAAATGTTATAATTTTAATTATTTTAATAACGCAATATTATATAATATAATTTAGTATAATAGTATTATATATTTATATATATAGTATTATGCTGTTTGAAATTCTTTTAATTAATATAAATTTGCAGTTTTATATAATTTATTTTATTTATTCATGAAGTACCTACCTACTTATGTTAAAAAAATTATAAGCAAGGTTTAAGTGACATAAATTAAAATGTATCTTTGCGGAGAGAGGATCAAGCAGTTACTAAACAATATTTTTGAAAAAGCACACATTGTAAAACAAATATTTTTTTCTGTGCTCAAAATTTAAAAGGTTAATGAGGATCCATATTTTCCGTGGGTAGGCCCCTTAGGGGGGGAGCAATTTTTTTCACCGGGGCTTAGGGGGCGTCAATTTATTTTTTGCACAGGGGCGCAAAATGTCTAAATGTGGCACTGCATATAGGTACAGGTGAAAAAATTGAAATTAATTGAAAATAATTGCTGAAATTAATGACGTTAAATTAACGTAAATAGTAATAAGTACCTACATACTAAGTTACTTTATTTGTCTTCTGTTCTATTGTATTATATTCCATATTACCAGTGTTGGGTAAATTACGTTACTTGTTACAATTGATATTTTTATTTAGATTATAGTTTTGTAGTATGGACAATATTATATTAATATGATATAAATAGCTATAAATATACTATGTATTGGTGATAATATAAATTAAATATAGATAAAATAACTTAAATTTATCTTTATAATATAATCTATACCTTTGGTGTTGTAGAAGTCATAAATAAGTATACATAATAAATACATTAAATAAATAATGGATGCGATAAAATAAATGTGTGCGATAAATGTTGTATTTTAGTTCACAAAATGAACGACCAGATTGTGAAAAAAATTCCACGATGTTAAATTGGAGTGACCACTTCATGAAAAAGTGACCATAATATTTTCGAATTTCACAAAGTGTAAAATATCCGTTTTCATTTCATGAAAAGTTCGATTTCATGAAGTGGCTACGACAAATATATATAAATATATTTATTTTATCATAAAAATTAATTTGGCCTTATCAGTTGTGAAGAAACGTAATTCTAAAATCAAATACAAAATAAAACTCAATTTTTTCGAAACATCGCTCTTGGAAATTAATTAGAGACTGTCTGTCTTGTATACAATATACAAAACATTACAATCATTACACACATAGAACTTAAATTTTAAACTGCATAATATGTTATGAATAAGTATGAAGAAGCTAAATGTTTTTATAAAATATTCCATAACCGTTTATCATTTATATTCTCATCATAATCCACTGAATCAAAACTTATATCCTTTTATCAAATCCAGGTAATCCTGGACACCTGGAGTGTATACGGTGCATGATCTCCAATATAATATGTACGTATAGTGCTAAATAATCATACATAATTGAGTCAATAATGGCTTTTTTCAGCACTTTAGACACCGAAAACTCTTAAAATTAATGTATTAATATTTTAACTAACAAATTATTTTTAAATTGTTTTATCATTATAATCATCATATATGCTATAAATAATATTGCAATAATAAAAAATATACATCTAAAATAAAATAACAAATCACCGAATACGCAAAAATGTGCACTATAAAGTTGTAATATTATTTTCGTAGTGTCTTGAACTAATTTCTATCTTACTGAGCAATAAATCCAAAAGTCCACGAAAAACATTCAAACGCAATAATAATTTCTAGCCCTTATAATTAATAACATTATAAAAATTATTAAATAAGATTTCTGTGTCCAACCGGTAAATGACATAATTATTTTAAGACGAAATAACGGGTCCTATTTACACCCGTGGTTAGGGAGACTACCCATCCCTCTCTAAAAGGTAGGTACCTCTTCGGCTTGAAATAGCCAAAAGTTACTATTAGCCATAAGGTATCAGCAGTCTTGCCGTGGTAGGAAGTAAATATTATAAAAAATAAGAATACACCTCACCTGGGAGAGCGTCACCGCGGCCGTCAACTTCATCTTTTCTTTATAAATCGTAAAAACCGACTATAAAATATAAACGTAAAACAATAACATTCATCTACGATCTACGATAAATAAGTACAATACTAATAGATTTTATTTCTGGCACCGATAATGTAAATTATATGTATACCGCGGCTTGCGGCTAGGAAGCTATTAAATTATTAATATGTCAAATCATTATAACTATTATTTTGTTTACATTAATTGATAATAATAATAATAATAATATACAGTGTGTTATTTAATTGGAATATCAGTTATATTGTATAGTATTGAAGATGTATATTTTGAATATATTTTCTGTACCTACCTTTAGTTTTTTTCAATTATCTTATTTTTTACCACTTTATATCATTTATATATAATACATGTTCAAATGTCACTATAATGTAATCACTATTCGTCAAGAGAACTAGACTTATAGGCTATGAAAAAAACTAAGATTTTAAGAATATAATAAATCAACGACACTCTGATTAATAATTAACTGTATCTACACTGTATATTGTATAACATAAAACATGCTATATAGAATTCTTGACGGTTAGAGTCAACAATATTATGATGATCATTATATTATGTGAACTTCAGAACATATAGTCATCTAGATATATACTATATTATATTATGTTATTCAGAAGTTGTAATCTATATTTGATAAAAAAAAAATGTCCATATATACAGGGTAATTGCTCATCCTCCTTTTTTCATTAAATAATACATTTATTCAAATTTTGGATTTTGAATTTTGAAATATATATTTAAAGACCATGTTTTTAAATTATTGACACTTTTTTTCCATCTTAGGAGTATTCAGCTTGGTGATCCAAACCTCCAATCTTCCAAGCCCATTATTATATGGATCTAATATCGTTAGTACACAAAGTCAAATATTTAAAAAACTACTTGTTCGAGTTTTGAATTAGATACCTACGTCAACATTTTCAAAGGAAATATACACCAAATAGCATAAAAAAAAACAGGAGTTCTCATTTGAAAAACAGAAATTTGTATCACTTCATAACACGCTTTAAATAGTACAACAAATCTTAAGAATGTGAAAATAATATAATAATAATAATAATTATAATAATTCTTAAATATAATGAGGGGGACGGAGTGGCCGAGCGGACTAAGGCGTCGGTTGTGACGTGCACCGACGACTGTTTGATCCCAGGCACCATTATTAATTGTTTAAAATGTTTATAAAAGTAATATATATATTTTTAATTTCTTATTTCAATGCAGAATTAGAAAAGTTTAGTCGATCAAAGTGGAGTGAACATTGCAAGAGTATCCCCTCAAAAATGTGGATCAAACAATGCTCTCATATTATAAGCTATGTCTGAAATTCAATTTTTAGATATCGAAATTCATCGAATAATAATCTGTTACAGAATATGAAATTAAAAATGTATATTGCTGTCATTCGAAAAAGTAAAAATCTTTACAAATTATTACGATAAAGAGATCGTATTTTTTCCAAAAATGTTCTTTTGTAACATTGTTACAAACGTTAGTATTTTGAATTTTCTGAATTAATAATCAGTGTCTTATGTTTAATGGATCATCCTGTGTATTTATATAAATAGTAAGAAGTATAGGTTTTAAGTTACGTGTCACGTTAGTTCGTTTGTCTTATAAATTATAATATAGCTATGTGACATTGTAATTTGTAACCATCATCATCGTCAATGAGTTTAAAGTTCACTAATCACTATACACTGATTACATATATTATTGATGTTATTTATACATACCGTTTGTACGATTGTACGCTGATTATTAAGTCTTATTATTTTAAAGGTATTGAAATAGAGCACATATTTTATAAACAGTAGGTATAAAGTTCGTTGATCATTTACGCCGCTTTATATAGTACCTATGTGGGAGTGGGAATTTAAAGAAAACAAATAGTGATAATGTCTATACGCGTTAAGAAGATATCCGCATAATATATTATGTTGTCACCATCTTACAAACACACAACTCAACACAAGACAGGAATTTTGTGTTCAGCAGTTAAAGTGTAGTGTAGTAACCATAGGAGTGTTTTAAATTTGTTGGGGGGGGGCTGTAGCGATAAGCACAAATGGGGGGGGGGGGCTTGGGGGTGCACATCTTACAGTAAAAGTGCTTGGATTTTCTTCAACAGTACCTTTTCTGACAGGAAAGTGAATCTAGTTGGTACTTTGGGGGGGTCAAAAGTATAAATTTCCCAGTAGTTTTCACAAGCACCGGGAAAAAACAACATAAAAATTAAGGAAAAACGGGAATTTTTACGGAAAATCGGTTTTCCAAAAAATCGATTTTGATTTTTGGTGTAACTCTAAAAGAAATGAACGTATATACATGAAGTTTTCACTGGTTGTTTATATTTGAATTTTGTTTACACGATAACATTTTCAAAATATTTTGATTTATTTTGAACTGTTTAGGGACATTTTCATTTTCCATCTTTTTTTAGTTTTTTTTCTAAAAATATCAATAAAATTTTATTTGTTGGTTGCGAGAAGTTGAAAATTTAATAGAAGGCTCCTAGTATATTGTTTCAAAGGCAGATGAAAAATATTAAAAATCCTTAGTTGGTCTTCAATTATATTTAAAAATATCTAAAAATCAGATATTATCGTCATCTTAATTCGCAAATCACTTAACTCCATATTGACTAGTTTTCAGGAGAAAGGAAAAATATTTCATCGGAAAATTTCCTATCTCATCTCTCAATTCGCAAATATCCTATCTTCATAATTTTTACCATGCTAATATGGAGTTATGATTTTTTCTAATTGTTAAAATCATCACATCGGAGATACGACCATTTCTAATAATCAATGTAATATGGAGGATAAAATTTTACAATTTATCAGTTACAAGTTACAACTTTATCATACAATGCAGTTTTTTCCTTAATTTTAATCACAATTAATTCCAAAATCACATTTTCGGAGTTAGGAAAATATTGCGAATTAGGCTGATGATATGTATATTAATTTTAATAAATATTATTGTATACAAAAAATTGGGGTGTACAATTATACGCCAACGAGTCCAACATTAGAACTCGGATCACCTATATAGTATTACAGTAAAATATACCGACTCTATGTGTGGGGTGTGCGAATAACACGCCTGGAGAGTCTTTTAAGTACTACTTACGATTTTTAACAGTACCTATTAATGTTTACCTACCACTGAAGCTCAAACTTACGACGCGGTGTTTGCCGCAGAGACGTCTACATGGTTGCACACTTGCACGTTTATTTCAGTGTGTATTCGGTTATTTCCATATCACGATGCAGAACAAATAACATTATCCGCAGGCATATAACACCGAGCTGTTTGCGAATAGGTAAATACTATAATATAATTCGTAACTAGTTGAAACGGAGAGGCGTGGACTTATAATATATTGCTCATATAATATTATGCGCACCCGTACATGGCTCGATTTTGGGGTGGTTAAGCGGAAGGCGAAGTAAATCATTTGTCAACCACTCTAGTATAGATAATTTTTAATTTTTTTACTATCATGAAAATCGATGACATCCACGAGTCATGACAATACAATATCCACCTGCGTGACCATATATAGGATTATTATTTATTACATATATTTATGCAAAGTGAATGAGGTAGATATAATAGATAGGTATTAATACACAGTACATACTTTATAATAATACGTTTAATACCTATGAGTAACATAATAATATTAATAACATTAATTTAATTAATACAGAACAAAACAGGTGGCGAAGAGCCGACAATGGTACAGACATGAAATACGTAAGGCAAACCTACACTAACTTGGTACAAATGACAATTTAGGACATGATAAACGGTTTCAGAATAGTACCAGCGAACACAAAAGTGAGATAACGGTGGGAGAGGAGGGGATGTTTAAAAACTTTTTAATTTCTATAATATACATATTACTGGTCTATCTTGTCAACAGAACCACAACAACAAAGGAACCGCCTGAAAAATTTCTTTGTCTGGCGCCAAAATGAACGACGAGGACGTGTGTGTCTCGGACTTTCCGGTTTCCGTACATTGCTGGTGACCTGCTGAAACTTTAGATTTGGCGTTGATCGCCACCCAATATCTGCAGCTGTCTCGCCAGCTAATTTTGGATGTATGCGGATGTTTGGCTCAGATACACAGAGCCTGCCGTCCAGAAAACCTTTGGAATCAAAATTTTTCGACGATTCCGGTTTCCGTACATCGCTGGTGACCTGCTGAAACTTTAGATTTGGCGTTGATCGCCACCCAATATCTGCAGCTGTCTCGCCAGCTAATTTAGGATGTATGGGAATGTTCGGCTCAGATACACAGAACCTGCCGTCCAGAAAACCCTCGGAATCACAATTTTTCGACGGTTCCGGTCTTCGTATATCATTGGTACGGTTAAACTTGAGATTTGGCGTTGATCGCCATCCAATATCTGTCGATTTGGCTGAGGAATTTTCACACATCGCAGCCATGTTAGGCATAGATACACATCTATATGACATATTTATTTGAAAATATTATATAGGCACAATTAACGGAGAAGATTATACAGAAATACGTATAGGAATGAAATTTATCCGTAATGAACACAAGAAATGAATATTGACAAGTGGTAACTATGTGACACAGATATGAATTGTAGATTTTTGAAACATTCACGTACATGGCAACGATATTTTAGTTGTTTGTGTTGTTTTCTTAGAGCCAATATTAACATGGGCGTAGTTTGGCATAATTATATGTGGGGGCTATATAGGACTAGAAAAATATACCATTCAAAAAACTCCTTTCGTTTAACTGGAATTAAAAAGAAAAAGAACATTTTCTAAAAAAAAAAAACAATTTATATTTGCCTTCTTCTTAACCTGGCATTTTATTTTGCAATATAAAAAAAAGATAAAACAATTAAAATTTAATTATTAAATCAAACATAAGCTAGGCGTCTGTGTTTTTCTGAAAATATGTAAAGTACATTTTCT